AAGTTGGAGGTAATAGCTTTCCAACGATAGGTTATATGTCCAATTTCGATAAAAAAAAAGGAGAAATTTATGACCGTTTAATTTTACAAAGGACTTTCGAAGTTGGGGAAGGGACACAAACGTGCCCTACATAGCACGTTCGTGCCTAGTCGAATGAAGGCGTTTTGCTTCCTTTTTTCGGGTATGCTTATGAAGGCTACTAATGATATTCCTTGGAGAATAGTCTAGGGTTTCTTTAGGGTTTTCTTATGCTATATAAGGAGCCATTGGGTGGAATTTTATGAAGTGCTTAAATTGATTAGCCTAGCCAATTCAAGCCGATATGTAACTCCACCGGAGAGATTTTGTGAGATGGAGTGTTGTATCTCCTTTGTTATATCTCTTGTTTATCCTCCATGAAAGCTAATAATAAAACACTATCCCTTATCATGTGAACGTAGGTCATGTTGACCGAACCACGTATATCTCTGTGTTCATCTCATTTATTTTCTACTCTATTTCACAAATTTACGTTTTATATATTGATGTCTATGTTCCGCTCATATCAAACACATAACCTAATTCATCGATCCTAGTCTATTTCCTAACAAGATCAGAGTAGATTAATCTTCTATATATCCACCATTATGGCTCAGGTATTGTATGTTATATTAACAATTTCAGTGATTGAAAAAATTTAATGAAAGACCTCAATGAGATCTACTTTTATGTCCGAATAAATCCATCTTTTAAAATTGAAATAAAAGTAATAGTGAATTAACTCTTATGTGAGATACAGTGAGTTGCACATGCATAAACTGATCTAAATATAATAATTAAAAAAAAAAATATCACCATCATTCCAAAATAATTAATACATTCAAAATTGGTACACTTGCAGACTTGCTAATGCATTAGAATGACCCTAAATAAAAGTAATTAAGTATAAGTAAAAAGTATTAAAAACGTTAATATTATAAAACTATAATATAAGGCAAAATCTAATGAATGCTTAAAGGGCGATGAATAAGATAACTAAAAGTAGAAATATTTAATTGAAATAGACATTAATTAATTACACCGATCGACGCGTGACTTTGACATGCAATTCCAAATTATTATGAATCGGAGTACAATTTTATCTAATATCTCGAGGGCGTTCGTTAGCAAGATCCTTAATATAATACATACGGATTATTTAACAACATTTTACATAAAAACATTTGTTTTTAATATATTGTAATCAATATATAGCTTCCTCCCTCCAGCCATTAAATGATCCTAGATCGATCCACCTAAATATTATTTGTGTTGAGCCCTTGAACTAACCCAGTTTTTCACATGTGAGTGGAAGTATTGTCCCACATTAAACGAGTGTAAAAGTTAGAGTGAGTATTGGGATGTGTATTCCACATTGATAAAACGAGAAAATTGTATCCATTTTAATTTATAAGGCTAAGAAGTTACTCCCCTCATTATCATATGATTTTAAGGTGGAACCTTTTTAAACCTATAAAGTGGATAATTGTGACGGATGTAGCTCATACCCGTTCATCAGTTTGCTTATATTGAAAGATCGAATGAATTCTTAGGCTCTGTTCACTTCACCTTAATTTTCCTGAATTGAAATTATTTTTACTGAACTGAAATTATTTTTGCTGAATTTAAATTATTTTTACTGAACTGAAATTAATTTTACTAAACTGAAATTATTTTTGTTGAACTGAAATTATTTATACTGATTTTCTGTTATAAATCTTCTTTAAAGTTACTAATTTTTACTGAAGTGAAATTATTTTTAATGAACTGAAATTATTTTTACTGAACTGAACTTATTTTTGTTGAACTGAAATTATTTTTACTAAAGTGAACAAGGCCTTAGTCGGAAGAATTGAGATTTTTTTTTTTCTCCCGGCCTATAGAATTGCGGCTATTCGTCATGAATATTGCGAACCGAATTGTGTTACGTTGTCGATTTGGTAATAAATGTGGGGGGTCTATTATGAAATATGGATATTGCTTGTAATAATCCTACCTCCAAATATTCATACTTTAACCGAAGGCAATGAATTTGACAGATAACTTGTTAGAAGGGTCACCTAATAAGGTGTTTAGCCCAATAATTATTTATCTATTTATTTATTTATTTATTTTTTTTTTTTTTTTTTTTTTTTTTTGAGAAAAGGTTTAGTCCAATAATTAACATCTAAATATATGATTAAACTTATTTTGTGGGCCTAATTTTCTTAAATAGAACTTAAAGATATATGTCGACGAACTTCTCTGCCACTTATTCTAATTTATGCTTTCTAATTACTTTACAAAAAACTAATCATTTTCATCTTGATTTAGAGTACCAATTAGTACCAAATCTATCTATGTCCCCATATTTCTTGAAAATCTTGGTTCTTCCATAATCCATAGTATAATCGCTCTTTAACTTTAAATTTTTTTATTAGAAAAAAATTATTTTGTATAATGAGGTGTAACAATTGAGTTTAATTCAAGTTACATTCAAATGATAGAACATACATTCAAGTTTAGGATCTAATTAAATCTTATTCAAGCCATAATGAACCAATTTTATTATAATTTCTCGATATAAGAGTCACCTTAAAGATTTTAAGTTATTTGATCAAAATTGAATAGTCGAATTTGGGAAAGTTTTGTCAAGTATAGCTAGTCGGAATATTGTTAATTTGCTACAAGGAGGTCTTAATGTGAATGCGCAAAATTTGTCAATTGTGAGCTAGAAATAATAATGGCTTATAAAGTCAAAACAAAAAAAGAGCAAAATAAGTGGATGGAGCTAATTAAGTTTAGTAAATACGGACTAGTGGATTGTGAACCTTTATACTGAAAATGACTGTCGGCGTGTTAACTATGAGCCACGTGTCCACTCGTATCTAATAGTTACAAGTCTTACAACACCATTATTCATTGCTCAAAAGGTATAATCCTTAAAAACAATGGGATATAAGAGGCCTAAGTGAATGTAATTTGCACACCAAAAAAAAAAAAAAAAAAAGTGAATGTAATTAAGAAATTATTTGATCGATCTGAAGTGTTCAAAAGTTCTAAAACAAGCATTAACTGATCGCAAATGTGAGTAACTTTTGAAAACGAGAGTATTAAAATAAGGAAGGCTATTCAATGGCTACAACAAAATTGTACCTATTGTAATTAGTTTTAATTTTAGCCCTATATTTTTAGGGATTAATCTTGTCCATTCATCTAATTGACTTTGATTTTTAATAAGATACAAAAAAAATAAAAATAAAAATAAAAAAAATAAAAGACAGTTTTCTTCATAATGATAGGATTATGGGAAAAGCAAACGAGGGTAGTAATAATCCTTTTTTTTTTTTTTTTGATTTTTCTCAAAAACATTCTATCTAAAAAGACATGTCTCTTTTTTTACTTCCTCCGTTTTTTCTAATTGCACCATTATCCTATTTGGAAAGATGTATATTAATTGTATCATTTATTCATTTTCCTTTATATTATACTTTCATAAACTTTTATCATGTGTTCACTCTATAAATACTCATTATGCCCTTATATACATTTGATAATAACAATCATTACCTCACTTTTTTTCTCTCATTTGTTTGTAGTCACATGGACGTTATTGGTGTCCCCCACTTTTTACTCACTTTCTTAATTCTTATGCCCAAAGTAAATGGTGCAATTAAAAAAAAAAAAAAAAAAAACAGAAGAAATATTTTATACCAACATTTTAAATTAAATCACCTACTCGATTACTCTCTTAATACAACTCCTGGAAAACTAAAGTGAATGGGATTAAGCAATCATTGAGTAATTCCTAGCTAATTAAAGCTTTTCTTAGGCAAGGAGTTACATTACCTCCATTTTTAATGTTTTCCTCAATTTTCATTTTAATCGTGTTAAATACGGGCCTTGATCGCACTCATCACTAAGAGATAGTCCACTTCACGAGATCAAGAGAGACTTCATCCCAAAAACATATGACAATAGGAGGAGTTGCCCCTTAGCCTTGTAAAGTACGTGTTTAACTCTCACTTCTTTTCACTATGTGGGACACTTACATGTGTTGTTTGGGAAGTTTATAATACTTCAATACTCCCCCTCACACGTGTTGTTAGTGGAACATGTCAACCAAAAGTTTAAATTGATGTTTGAGTTCTCAAAAATATGTTTTATACTCTTACGCCCCTCACATGAAAGCTCGTTCGATTTGAAGTGTGGATGCAACATTCAAAAATATGTTTTATACTCTTACGCCCCCTCAAAAATATGTTGCTTGATGAGATTTTGATCCCATGACCTCTGTGTCACGCTCGCTCTAATACCATGTTAGTGGACCATCTAAACCAAAAGTTTAAGCTGATGGTTAAGGCCTAGGATTATAATTTATACTCTATCAATCCAATTTTTCCATTTTGCTTACTTCGTAATAACTTTTTATATATTCCATAATAATAATTCCTCTGATTTTTAATACTCCATAGTTGCAATACAGTATAATTGGAAAGTTATTTTGGGGGTAAGTTGTTCTATTTTCCTTATTTAAAGCTCATGACCCACTAAATTATATTCCTAACAATCTCTCACCTCAATTTAAAGTGTATTAAATCATGTAAACCCCACTTTTCTTACAAACCCATTTGCATGTACCCGGTGTACAGTATTTTTACTGTACATCGGGTTTTCGCACGTGCTTTTTTTTTTAAAAAAAAAATCGCAGAATTTCAAATACCTAAAAATAAAAAAAAACGCAGAACAACAATGGAGGAGAGAGAAAGTGAGAAAACGCAGCTATCAATCATCCATTGAGGAGAGAGAAAGTGAGAAATCGCAAAAATTGCAGAAAACGAACATCAATCGAGGAGAAAAAAGGTTAGAAAACGCAAAAATTGCAGAAATCGATCATCAATCGAGGAGAAAAAAGGTGAGAAAACGCACAAATAGAAGAATTCGATCATCAATTAAAGACAAATAAAGTGAGAAAACTTACAAATTGCAGAATTCGATCATCAATGGAGAATTCGACTTTCGATACAACAAATTGCAGCAATCTCATTCACGAATTGCTACAAAAACAGAGGCAAATTGAGACTGAATTTGAAATCGATTTAAATCGATCGATTATAGAAGAAGAAGAAACTAATTGTTTTGGAGATGAATTCGTACCAATATTCAACAATCCAGACAATGCAGATGAAGCAATCGATAATGCAGATGAAGCAATTGAGAATGCAGAAGACGCAATTCATAATGCAGAAAATCAAGTGGTTCCTGATAAATCAATTGATTCAAATTCAGAACAAACAACCAAATCAGATGCAACTGAAGGTAATTTCTATGAATTTTTGAGATTGTATGCAAAAAGTAACCCTTTGAATACATAATTGTTACCCTTTTCATGCATAAACGTGACCATACTTATGCCTAAATGTTACCCTCAGATTGAATGCAGAACTTTTTAGATTGCATGCAAAAAGTAACCCTTTGAATGCCTAAATGTTACCCTTTTCATGCTTAAAAGTGACCCTATTTATGCTCAAATGTTACACTCAGATTGTATGCTGAAAATTCAGATTGTATGCAAAAAGTAACCCTTTGAATGCCTAAATGTTACCTTTTTCATGCATAAAAGTTACCCTATTTATGCTCAAATGTTACACTCAGATTGTATGCTGAAAATTCAGATTGTATGCAAAAAGTAACCCTTTCAATGCCTAAATGTTACCTTTTTCATGCATAAAAGTTACCCTATTTTCAAACGAATGTTACCCTTTTTTTTATGCTGTCTGTGGTTATTATCTGATTTGTTTGTATTAAATAACAGATACAAATCCAATTGATGCTTATGGTTTAGATCTTAGAGGATCATTTGTTGGTGTGGTAAGAGAAACTTTTGAAGAAATTTTGGAATTGTATGAAAAACATGCTGCTATACTGGGGTTTTCAATAAGAAAACATACAACTAGATTCAAACAACACACAAAAATAGTAACTGAGAAAAACTATGTGTGTTCTGCTGAGGGAAAGAGACATTCAGGTCAGAAGAAAACAAAGTTAGTTGAAATGGTTGATGAAGAGGATGTAAATGTAAAAACAAGAAAGCCAAGACAAGTATCCATTACAAGATCAAATTGCAAGGCATGCATAAGAGCAAAAGTGAATAAAGAAGGACAGTTTGAGGTGGTGGCTCATGTTATTCAGCATAACCACGAGCTAACAAAGCCAAAGTGGCATTATTTGCATCGTTCTGAAAGAAAAATGACAGAGGAAAAAGTTGTAACAATCAAAACAATGAAATCTTCAGGTCTAACTACAATGGACACTTACAATTACATGGCTACAGAGGCTGGAGGAGAACAGAATATAGGCCATAGTGTTGTAGATCACCTGAATTTCTGCTCAAGGTTAAGAATGGAACAAATTGAGGCTGGAGATGCTCAAACTTTAGTGAACATTTTAAGTCAGGAACAATCAGAGGATCCAAACTTCTTTTTTAGAGTGAAGTTTGACAAAGAAGGAAGAATTTGCAATATCTTTTGGAGAGATTCAATGATGCTAGAAGACTATAGGATATATGGAGATGTTCTTGTCTTTGATACAACATACAGACCAACAGATATAATCTTATATGTGCTCCATTTGTTGGCATAAATAACCACTGGCATAATTGTATGTTTGCTTGTGCTTTTATTGGGGATGAAACGACAGATTCATTTGTGTGGTTACTACAAACCTTCTTCAAAGCTATGGAGGATAGAAAACCAACTTCAATATTCACTGACCAGGACCAAGCAATGGCAAATGCTATACTGGAGGTAAAAGATTTATATTGACATCTTACAGATTTGAGCTATGACAATAAAGTTTTCCTTTTTCACATAAAGTTACCCTTTTAGCTGCATAAAGTTACCCTTTTTAGTGCATAAAGTAACCCTTTTAACAGCATAAAGTGACCCCTTTATTTTCAATGCAGGTGATTCCTAATACAAGACATAGACTTTGTATATGGCATTTGGAGCAAAATGCCATAACCAGATTTGGAGCTCTTAAAAAAGACAAAGAATTCAAATTTGCATTCAACCAGTGCTTAAAGATGTGTGTGACAGAACAAGAATTCGAAGCAAAGTGGCAAGCAATGTTGCAAAAATATGAGTTGACAGAACACTCTTGGTACAAAAGAGTGTATGAGTTGAAAGACAAATGGTGTCCTGCCCTTTGTAGAGATTTCTTTTCAGCAGGGATCTTATCGTCACAAAGGAGTGAAAGCACTAATCATGCCATAGGATTCAGAGCAAGTAAAGCAACTACTTTGACAGAATTTTATACCATATTTAAGAAGACAACTAATCGTTGGAGAAGCACAGAGAAATATGATGAGTTTACCTGTAGCAAGTCAATAGCATTCACTTCATTGCCTCTATCTGGAATGCTAAAGCATGCTGCACAGGTAAAAAGTTAACTGACAAGTACATAAACACCTAATATATGGCAATTTAAATGAAGCTACATGATTTTGATGTACAGGTTTTCACTTTATCACTCTTTAGAAATTTTGAAGAGGAGTTTGGATACTCTATGGCAACAACTGTTCAGATGTTAGGCAGTAATGAAGAATGCCTACTTTATCAAGTAACACTAGAAGACAAGCCATGGTATGCACATCAAGTAAACTATATACAAGAGAGCCAAACTGTATGGTGTACTTGCAAAAACTTTGAAGCATCTGGATGGTTATGTTATCATTGCATCAGAATTCTACATTTGCATTCAATAACAAGAATACCAGACAAGTATGTTTCAAAAAGATGGACTAAGTTTGCAAAAACAGAGGCATGGGATAGGTTGAAGAATCAGGATCCTAAACAGCAATATATTCCATGGAGGCAAACAATGATGAGGAAATACTACAATCTAATCTTAAAAAGTCAAGAAAATGAAGAGACAAGAGCATTTATGGAAGAAAGCTTCAGAAACAGTCTTAAAATGGTGGAAGACTTACTTGCTAGTGCTGCTCAGAAAGAAAGTGCAGAAGCTGCTTCTAACATTCCTGATGTGGCAGACAACACTCAAAGCAATACTGACGCTTCTTCAGCATCGAGTACAAGCACATGTGTACCAATAATTCTTGATTCTAAAAGGGTTGTAGCAAAAGGAAGAAGCAAGAGAGCAAAAGGAGGACTTGAAAAAAGCAAGAGAAAAAGAAAACCAGCACTGCCACCTCCAAATTCAGAATTTGGATCAAAGACACCTAACTTACGACTCTTTTAAGATCTTTTTTAGAACATTTTTTTTTTCGAAATTAATATACCTTGTATTGTTAAACTATTTTTCTTTTGTTTTTTTACTCTATGACTAGTTTAATGAAAATGTGATTGACACTTTTATTAGCACATGTTTAATTATTGGAACACATCAACCTATGTTACCCTTTTAACGTATAAAAGTAACCCTTTTCATGCATAAAAGTAACCCTTTTCATGCATAAAAGTTATCCTTTCTATCCACTAAATCAACCTTTTCTTTGGCAATAGTTACCCTTTATGTTAATAAAAGTTAACCCTTATATCAATAAAAGTTACCCTTTCCATGCATAAAAGTTACACTATCTACCCACAAAAGTATACCTTATCATGTATAAACTTATTATTTCTACCCACAAAAGTAACCCTTTTTATCCTTTCTATCCACTAAATCAACCTTTTCTTTTCTAATAGTTACCCTTTCTGTTAATAAAAGTTACCCTTTTTATCACTAAAAGTTATCCTTTTCATGCATAAAACCCCTGACCCTTTTATTTTACAGAAAAAAGTGTCCCTTTTCATGAATAGAAGTGACCCTTTTTCTACATAAAAGTGACCCTTTTCATTGCTAAAATTACCATTTCTAACAATAAAATCTACCTTTTTCTTGCTTAAAAGTTACCCTTTCTATAAATAAAAGTTACCCTTTCTATAAATAAAAGTTACCCTTTTCTGCATAAAAGTTACCCCATAAAAAACATAAAAATAAACCTTTTAATTACTTTATGTATTCACATACATCAGTATTCCAAAAACAACTAAAGACTTTAAACTAAGTTTAATTACATCATTAAACTTAATGTATGCACATACATTAAGTTTTTTCATTGTTAAAAAAACCCCCTGAACTAATCAGCTAACAACTATCAATTATTTCACTATTTAGAAGGAGTAAACTTTTTTGCCTGCTTTTTTGCCCTTTTTCCTTTGTTCTTTTCCTCTTCTCCCTCTGCCTTTGCTTCTGCTTCTGCTGCCATTTTTCTTTCTTCTGTTTCTCTCTTCTTCTTTGCAGCAATTGCAGCCTTTAATCTTTCTTCAATTCCATTGACATAAGCAGGATCTTTCTTCTTCTCATTGAACTTGTGTAATTCTAACAACACATCGTTCCTAGATTCATTCAAATCATACAGTACCAGTGTGGTACAGATCTCTCCTCGTAAAAATTTCCTTCCATTAATCTCAAATCAGCAAAAAAAATAAAAATTATCAATATGTAATTAATAAAAGCAATATAAAGGAAAAAAACTACAGAAACTATATAGATAATTACTGTTTTGAGATCATTGAATTTGAACGATTCACCAACAAAATGGAGCATGTGATACATGACAAAGACCCCACAGTCCAAATTGTCAACTTTTTCTTTTCTCCATTCCAACTCAACAACTTCAAAACCATAAGAAGGTAGCTGAGAACTCTTTGGATGATTTCTTTTGCCAAGAAAAGCACCCATTTGAACACACTGACATAAAATATAAAAGTTTAGAATACATTCAAATCAAAAAAGTTAAAATGGAAACAATGAATCAACAGTAACATAACAAAAAAAAAAAAACATAAACATACCATCTTTGAACACAATTCTTTTGTATAAACAAGAGCAGAATCAGTCCAGATAATGTTGTCAAGATAATATACCAACTCTTTTGTATGATCAATAACATACAAAATGTAGTGATTCTCAATAAGAACAGGAAAATAGATCTGAAACAGCAAAATTAAAGAGATTTAAACAGAGCATATCATAAAGAGAACTCTTTTAAATTTATTACATTAAGTTTAGAATAAAAATACCAGATCAGCATCCATTATATTACATTCTGGATTCTCATAGCTAACCCAACCTTCCCATATGTCGTGCAAATCCTTAACAGCACTAGATATGTTACCTTTGCCAATATTGTCACAAACATGCAAGAATGAAAACTATTAAAGTATAAGATCTCAATAATATATATATAAAGTAAATGTGTTAAGATATAAAAAAAGGAATGAAATAACTTACACTCTGCCTAACACCGAAGAAGAATTTTCGAGGACCAGTAGCCTGAAAACATGCTTTCTCATTCAAATACAGACAGAAGCAATCAATAACGCACCATTGAATCCTGAGTGGAGCAACAAGGGACACCATGTCTTCTCTTGGAATTAAAAAGTTCATTCCAAAAGTAACAAGGCTCTCACTGAAACAATAAAAAATAAGATCAACATTAAAAAAAAAATATTAGAAAAAAAACAGATAAAAAAATAATTATAATAAAAAAGGACACTTAACTTCTTATCCATTGAAACATCCTTCAGCAAACAATAATCGAGAATTTCCAAATGTAACTGAGGCAAATTCTTGAAAATCCGAGCATTGCTCTTTACAAAAAGAGTTACAAAAGGCACCTGCACACCTACATGTCCACAGTCCAGAGAGCATAGAGATTTATTTGCTCTGAGTCGAGGAGGTTCATTTTGATCAATATGCCCGACAGGAATATTTTGAGTAGGACCAGGAATGATAGCAGAAGGTCCAGAACCATTAAGGCCTTCATTAACTATTTTTCCATGACCATTGTCATCATCCTTAGGAATATTTTCATTGAAATCTTGTGCAGGTTCTTTTTCAGGAACAAAATCTTTGTTACCTTCTGTAGGTTCATAAAAACCGCGAAACATATCATGTACAGACTTCATTTTATTACACTCATCAATTAAACCATCTAAAATCTTCAAATAATGAGGATCAGAGTGTAGCAGTTCAGTTTGAGAAACTGAAACAAAATCATCAGAAGATAATGAAACACTTCTGCGAGAAGTTATCAGATCATTCAAGGTTTGAAAACCAGTTGACTAAACAAATAATAAAACATCCATATTTCTTTTAAACAAAAGAAACGTTTCATGAACAACCTACAAACATATGAACAATGAAAAAAAAATGTTACAAATAAAAATAATAAAATAAGTAGAAAATCTAATTCCATTAAACTAAACATATAAGAAAACAAAACACTTACATCAGTTGAAATTTTTTTAATTTCTTCATCGGTCATAATACCTTCTGGAAGCTCAAATGCAACAATGCGACCAGTGGTACCACTTGTAGAAGGACCCTTATCATAACCCAAAGTAGGAGCTGGCTTAAAAACAGTTCCCCTAAAATTAAGCTGTGACACAGGATATGTAATAGTATCCAATGGTCCCTGCCCATAACCACCAGCTTTGATCTCTAACTTAATTCGCTTCTTAATCTTTACATCCGTCCAATGTTGAATTAAAGGAAGAGTACTACTTTCCTTTTCACCTTGAAAATTTAGACGATGAAAATACATAATTTGCAAAGCCAGCAAACAACCACTAACATTTTGAGCATTTTCATCATCCTTATACTTCCGAACAGCCTTCTTTAACTTTTTTAAAACATATGAACACCAATCAAAAGTTTTAATTTCATCAACTTTTTCAACAACTTTAAGCAACTTCAATGAAACAGTCCTATTAGTAGTAGGAGCTAAAAAGCTAGACATAGCTTGAAGAACAAAACACCTCTTAAATTCTTCCCCTCCATCAACCAAATCAACCATCCTAGACTCCAATTTTGACAAATGAAGAGGTTGCTTACCAGAAAGACCATAATCAGATCTCCATGCCTAAATGATACGTTTATCTACACTTTCATCTTCAAAATTTTTATTAAGTTTAGGAACACAAATATCACTCAAAGGCAAGCAAAACACATCGCATATATCATTTCTAGTAACAACAAATTCTTTACCAGTAGCGATGGTAAACATGCAGCTACCAGCATTGAAGTTTTCAACAAGCCAAGGTAGCATTTGACGATTAAGAGTTTTCAATTTAAGATGTAATAAACCTCCAAAACCAATTTCTTCAACAGCCTGTTTTTGCTCAGGACTAAAGTTCTGCAGCAATATTTCCAATGAATAGGGTCTACATCTTGCAATGATTCTTCTTTGCTCCCTAAATAGAAAAAAAAAAAAAGAAAATGTAACTAAAACAATATAAAATAAAAACAAAATATAATTAAAAATGTAATAAAAAAATATGTATACTTACATAACAGATTCAGAATCAGATTCAGAAAGCATTTCATAATCAGAATCTTCCACTGTATTAGCTTTCTTAGGTACAATTTTGGCCTTCTTAGGAACTATTTTGGCCTTTTCAGACTCTGGTTTGTCACTCTCAGGAATTTTCCCAGCCTTTTTAGATACTACTTTGCTCTTCTCAGGAGCTATCTGGGTCTTTTTTGGTACTGGTTTAGGCTTAGCAGGCTCTTTAGGCTTTCCTTTTCCTTTTGTAGGCTTTTTATAACGATAACCACCTATTGAACCACCTGTATTTAATTATTAAAGTAATATAAATACAAATTCAGAAATTACTCATGGAAAAATATAGAATAATGTGCACAAATGACACTTTTAAATGCATAAAGTGACCCTTTTAACAGCACAAAGTAACCCTTTTAACAGCACAAAGTGACCCTTTTAACATCACAAAGTAACCCTTTTAACAGTATAAAGTGACCCTTTTAACAGCATAAAGTGACCCTTTTAACAGCTTAAAGTGACCCTTTTGTATGCATAAAGTGACCCTTTTGTATGCAAAAAGTGACCCTTTTATATGCAAAAAGTGACCCTTTTTTTGCAAAAAGTGACCCTTTTAACTGAAAAAGTTAATCATTTAACAACATATAGTGACTCTTTTAACAACATAAAGTCACCCTTTTAACATCACAAAGTGAACATTGTCAAAACATATAAATGACACACATGTCTATTACTCAAACACAATGAGCAATGCATATATGCATGTTAATCAAACACAGATGCACAAACACAATGCGAATATGCCTATTATACACATAATCTAACTAAAACATAAAACCTAAACAAATAATCAGTTTAATTAGCATTCTCTGACTAAAACCTAACATACAAAATTTGAAGAATAATAAGC